TATATTGTAGATAATAATTGAATTCACCATTTCTGTAAATTGTGACCAAACTGTAAACGTCTTAACAGCAAACATTTGTTTTTAGGGTGTATATTGTTTATATTGGGATCTGTCAACATTGTCTTTCACCTCAAAGGAGAGATAGTGGATCCCTACAGGATTCTATAAGCCTATATGGTAAGAAAAAGTGACACCTTGGACCCACAGTGCTAAAAGTGAAACACACAAACAATATGAAAAGACAAGGGAAGAAAGTGCCCCATACAAATCAATATACCACATTATTAGAATAAAATATTGTGCACCATGATCAAGTGGGTTCATCCTAGGGATGCAAGGTTGGTTCAACATATGGAACTCAATAAATGTAATTCATCACATCAATATACTTAAAGTTAAGAACCATATGTTCATCTCAATAGATGCAGAAAAAGCATATGACAAAATACAGGGCCCTTTCATGTTAAAAACACTAAAAATACTAGGAATAACAGGAACATATCTCAACATTGTAAAAGCTATCTATGTTAAGCCCCAGTCCAACATCATTCTAAATGGAGAAAAATTGAAATCATTCCCTCTAAAATCTGGAAAAAGACAGGGATGCCCTCTTTCACCACCTCTATTTAACATACTTCTTGAAACACTGGCCAGAGCAATTAGACAAAAGAAATTTAAAAAGATACAGATAGGAAAATAAGAACTTTAATTAGCACTATTTTAGGATGATATGATTCTATACCTAGAAGACCCAAAAAATTCCATCAGAATACTTCAAGAAGTAGTAAATGAATTTAGTAAAGTATCAAGATACAACATCAACACTCATAAATCAAAGACATTTCGGTATACCAGTGACAAATACTCAGATGAATTTCATGAATGCTTTTTCTATTTTTATGAGCAATGTCATTGGGATTTTGATTAGAAATGCATTAAATCTGTATAGTGATTTTAGTCATTTTGACAATATTAATTCTCCCTATCCAAGAACAAGGGAGATCTTTCCATCTTATAAGGTATTTTTAAATTTCTTTCTTTAGTGTTCTGTAGTTTTCATTGTAGAAGTCTTTCTCTTCTTTTGTTAGGTTGATTCTCAATTATTTTATTTTATTTTGAGGCTATTGTTACTGGGGTAGTTTTCCTTGTTTCCCTTTCTGATGATTGGAATATATAGTGGTTGATAATGTTGCAAACTGAAAATTGCAATCATTAAGGATAGATTTTAAGAATTGTTGCAAATACTAATCAAGATGATTTATAATAATTTTATAATAATTTTCTTTATAAGAAAAGCACATTAAGGCTCATCAGACAAAGAATATAGAAGTTATCAAAAGTAAACAGACATATTACTTTAAAAGAGAAACAAACATAATGACCTTTAGATTATTATTATTATTATTATTTTTTACAGAATAAATCAAAACCAGAAACAAAGTGTTATATGTTGAAAAATACTTGCTGCAACCCAAGGAAATTAGAAACCATGAGAATGAATGTTGAAATTAAAGCTTTTTTTTTTTTTTTGTACAAGGGGTTGAACCCAGGGACACGTAACCACTGAGCCACATTCATAGCCAATTTTTACATTTTATTTAGAAAAAAGGTCTCACTGAGTTGTTTAGGCCCTTGCTAAATTGCTAAGGCTGGCTTTGAACTCGTGATCCTCCTGTCTCAGCCTCCCCAAATGCTGGGAGTATAGGAGTGTACCACCATAGCCAGCTTATATTAGGGCATTTTTGAACAAAGCAAAATTGAGATAATTTTTTCCTGGTACATTCACACAATACTAATGCTGAAACAAGTTCTTAAAGTCTACAAATATGCTGCCCAATAAGAGCATGAAAGTGTAGAAAGAACAAAAAGTCTGAAGAGAATGTAAAATGTGGTAAATCTAAGTGAATGTCAAGTGAGTAATACTGTAATTCCACTTATACATTACAATGTGTAGAATTGAAACACATGATAATAATACTAAAATATGGGAAAGAATTCAATTAATAGCATGACAGGATATTTTTACTTATTGAAAAAATAGAAAAAGTAATAAACTCTAATAAGTCAAGAATGCATGCTGTAATTGGTATGCTAAATATCCAAATAATATATAAGTATCAAACTTATAGGAGGTGAATTAAATCTAAGAAAAGTCAAGACACTGGAGAAGAAGAAACATAGAAGAGGAAGAAAAGGAAGAAGACTAATAAGATAATTTTTACCTTTAAATATGTCAAAAGTTTACCTAAAAATACCACTAAAGTCAAATACTTTAAGTGATGCTGATTTCAGTCTAGGTGAAAACAGAATCCAAGCCCATATATCTTACAAAAGTCACATAGTTGACCACTGAGCCACAACACCAGCCCTCAAAATGCTTTTTTATGTAGCACCAAATACGGAACCTATAGGCACACTACTGCGGAGCTAAATCCTCTGCCTTTATTTTTGTTTTTTAATTTTGAGATAGAGTCTTGCTAAGTTGTGCAGACTGACCTTGAACTTGTGATCATCCCTTGCTTCAGCCTCCTATAGCTGGAATTACAGGCACACCCCACCTGCCTTCAATTACCACTTGGTTAATCTCATCAGGTGATTGATTCATCAGTTTGATTAAGGCTCTCATATCTCAATCATTTGTCCTCTACACCTTTTTGCATTGTCTCACACATGAGCTTTTCAAGAACACTTCATATCCAAACCACAACATTGTGCCCCTGGCCCCCAAAAGCTCATAACCATCTCACAATATGAAATTAATTTAGTCTATCTCCAAGAGTTCCCATATTCTCAACATTTCCAAGGACATATGTCTGCATGGGTTTGAACTCTACTCCTGATGGCGATTTGTTTTAGTCAACTCTTTTGATGCTGTGACTATAAGACCCAACAAGAAAAAAGAAATGCCATAGAGATAAAACTTGATTGGTTATAGGTCAGCATTTGTCTTATTTAGGTATGATGTGATGAGGCACTGCCTTATATGCATATGGCCTGATCAGTTGGCAGCTTGTGATTGACTGTGAAGCACAACTCCTGTGACTGGCCAAGAATCAACTTTTTTTTTTTTTTTTACATAAATCTATTTTTAAATTAAATTGCAGATTTTTTGTTTTGTTTTGTTTTACATAGTAAGTTAGGTTGCATTCTCTATATAGGATTTACAGGTATGGGGGCAGCTTTAGGTCAAATTAATTTCACACAAATGTTGAGGGACTGGTTAGTGTCTTCAGTATCCCAATATAATTGCATCTTTAAAAATTCCCACTTGTCTTTTTAAGTTTTTATAATTTAAAGAGCTCAGTGATAAATAAGTTGCCTCATCATGAATAACAAGTAGTGTAACTTTATTAAATTATAAATTTTGTTTGCATAAAATGACTCATTGTTCCATTGTGGACAAAATTTTATATTTTTAAAATTTTAAAATATTATAATAGTTCTACTTTTTTCTTTTATCATGTGTTTTCTTGATATACACACATGTACCCACACACACTCAGGACCACTTCTTAAAGCTTTATTTAAACAATATTGGCAAATATTAGAATAGTATAAAAACTGCTATAGCTCTATAAGGAAAAGTCTCTCTCCTGTCCTATATTGAACAATATCTATATTGTCCTATATTTAGATTATTGACACATTCACAATAATTACTATCAGATTCTTTTAGCATCTGTCATGCCAAGAATATTCCATGAAAGTAGATACATATATAAATAACTATATTCACAATTTGTTACTTCTAACTGCAAAATATTTACTTTGTCCTGCATCATAGTTTTGATTTTATAAATCTATCTCTAAGATATTCTATATTGTCACATCGAGATACAGATATACTGAATTCTATTTCATTATTACTAATTGTGTCTTTGTATCAGTGAATTATAATTTATTTAAACATTGATGGACATTTATATAATCTATGATTTGCTACTAAGATGATGCTTCAATTATAAACTTGTATGTGTTTTGGTAATTTTACTATTACCTCTTTGGTGATTCTTGAGGTAGAACTTCAAGATAGATCATTTACATAAATGAGTATATACATTTCTTATATTAATAGACATTGCCAAATTGCTTTCCAAAAGTTTATGTCAATTTACACTCCCACTGGCAGTGTTGGAGAACATCTTTTGTCTTCTATTCTCTCTAACAGTGTGATTTTTTCAAGTATTTCTCAGTTCTTAAAATAACAGGTAAAGTGATATTCCCATTTTTCTTTTGCATGTGTTTATAAGTAAGGTAAAGCAATGTAAAAAAATATTTAGACACTTGATAGTCTTCATTTTCTAAATATCTGTCCTTTGCTTCGGTTATTGCTGGTGTTTGAAATGTCTCTACAAAGATCAAAGAAATTAACTGTTTGTGAGATATACTGCATTTTCCCTACATTTTGTCTTCTGTTTCAGAGGTTTTTTTTTTTCAGGTGTTTTAATTTTCACGCAGTCAAATTGATCGATCTTTCCCTGATGCTTTCTGTGTTTTATTTCTTATAAAGTCATTTGTAATTCTAAGATTGTTGGGGACGGAAATCTTCCCATATTTAATTTTAGAACCTTTATGGTTTCACTAAATCATTTCTGTTTCAAACTTAATTGGATAAAAGGAATTTGATAAAAGGAATGTGGTAATGATTACTTTAATAACTTTTTATTGAATAATACATCCTTTATGCACCTTTATTATATGTATTTTATAAGTACAGTTTTAATTACTATAACTTCATAATGTCTGGTAGAATTAGTATTTAGAATAAGTATTTTCTTTTTCAAAATTGCCTGCCTGTTCTCACTAATATTTGATTTTTTTTGTGTTATTTTTTTCCCCATACAGGCTTTAGAATTAGCTTGTCTAAGCTTCTAATTTTAGAGAATTTTAGAACTTGAACTACAAGCCAGTGTTCAAGCTAGCTTGCATTTCGAATTCACACCACTGGAGTAGTCCCAAGAATTTCACAGGCAGAGAATTTAACTCAAAGTTGTCTCAGGTTGGTGGTGCCTCCAGATGGCTGACTAAGGCAAACAGAAATCTCTGCAAACTAGACCTCGGCGCAGGCCAGAAGCAATTGTGGGAAACCATAGCAATGTTAAAAACTGAAAAGTTTCGTATCCTACAATTGATGAAATAGGATAAACAACATCTTGACAGCGGCCATCTCAATGGTGAGATTATAGATTGAAATAGTTTTCCGTTTTGTATTTTATATAATGTAAATGTATTTACTATTTGGAAGAGTAAAATAAGTTTATTTAATTTTTTTAAAAAAAATTAGAACTCTTTCCTTTTTCAAAAGTAGTTATTAGTAGTAATTAGAGTTATAAACCAAAAAGAGACTTTAGAACAAATGAAGATTTTAATAAATCTTAAACATTGTAGGACTTAATTAAATTAAAAATGTAACAATATCAGTAGAAAATATAAGAAGTTATCTTGATAAAACATAAAATCTTTGTTCTTTAAGCCAATTCTCTGTAAACTTTACTAAGAATAGTTAGTCACTGCCAAACTGTTGGATCCTACTTACACAATTTATTTAAAATTTTTTTAAAATTTTTATTTTGGTATTGGGAATTTAACCCAGGAGCATTCTGCCACTGAGCTACATTCCCAGCTCTTTTTATTTATTTTCTTCTGAGACACAATCTCACTGAGTTCTTCAGGGTCTCATTCTTAGGGTCTCACTTTGTTGCTGAGGCTGCAACTCTCAGTTTTACAATATTGATTATTCTTATTCAAGAACAGGATAAATCTTGCATGTATTCAAATCGTTTTTTCAATGTTTCTCAGTCTCATTCAAAATGAAAACCTTTCGTATTAATGCTTTTCTTTGGTATTTCATATAGAAGTTTACTCATATGAAGTGACTTTATTTCCATTATATGTTCCAATTGTCTGCTGTTTATATATAGTAATGCAACAAGTTTTTAATATATTCAGTATACTTACTGGATTCTCTGGTTGTGTCTAATAGCCAGACAATGTATTCTCTTGAATTTTCTCAGTAAACAATAATTACAGCTACATTTAACAATAATATTGAATTCTTGTTTTAAATATTTATGCATTTTTTCTCTTGTTATTTACCTTGGTTAAATCTGCCTAATGATTATACCAGTAATGAACATTTCCCATTTTTGTCTTTAGTACGACTGTTTATATTATTGCTGCCTTTAGCCTGATGTTAACTTCTAGAGGGATGTATTAACTCACATGCACTTGGATTAAGCCTTCACATCACATACTTGGAGGTATATGCATATTCATTCATCATAATAGGGGGTATTTCTCTTAATTTAATAGGAGTTTTTTTTTTTTAATGAATGTTTGAATTTTACCCAATACCTTTTAGCCTAGGAAGATTTTCATTTCCTTCCCTCTGGGGGATCATGATAATAGATTGCTTTACATCGAATCATCCTTGTATTCATAGAAAGAGACTGTTTTATCAGAGCAAAATATTCTTTTAATTCTACTTGCCAATATTTTATTTGGATTTTTTTTTTTTTTGCATTGTTACCCACTGGCATTATCAATCCTTAACATTTTTGTGTTAAGCTGGTTGGGGACAATAACAAAAGCGTTTCTCTCCCTATTTACTCTGGATGGAGCTCTAACCCAGGGAAATCTGGTATAACTCTGCTTTTGTGGGAGGTAATTTGGTTGAGTGTTTCTCTTAAGAAGGGAAAGGTCAGAACGCTCTCTCCACAGTTTCTCCTCCTCTCTCGCATGCCTTGTTCCTAGAATCATTTTCTTATGCGGTCACATTTCTTTTCATTTCTAACTTTATTGTCAGCTTTTCTTGCTTAGTGTACATTGTGGAGATGCACATTTAAGTTTACGCAAGCTATGAAACATGTTTCTAAAATTTTCTTCTGTTTTCTATGTAAAGTCATTTCCTCCCCTTTTCTCCCCTCCTCTTCTCTTTCCTCCCTTTGCCTTTTAGAAGGCAGAGTTTACTATGTTACCCAGGCTTGTCTCAAAATCATGGACTCAATCAATCCTTCTTCCTCAGCCTCCCAAGGTAGTTCGGGCTAGAGGCATACACCACCATGCTCAATGAAGGAATTTGCAAAGTTAGTGTTTTCGGTAATCCATCTTCCTTTGCAGCAAAATGTTTTGACAAAGTTTGATATCATTTTGGTTTTTGTTTTTCCTCCTATTTATTTTCAGAGAGTCCCCATTCTGCTTATTTACTTGGCAGACTTTGCTTTCTCAGATCTAGTCCTGGAAATCAGGCTAATGCTCATATACAATATTTAGTTAAGTTTCTAATGCCAAAAATATTGAGGACAGTGATTGTTTGAGCAGCAAATCTGGAGACCAATAACATTTTCCTAAACTTTCTGTAAAAAACATGTGTAAGGATATACATGCATACACACAAACATCTTGCAGGTGTACTTGAAAATAAGGTCTAAAGATAGACTTGCTTGGAATTTCTTTATTAGCAAAATTCTCATTGAGGATTTTCTAAAAGAATAAGTTAGCTATATGGATGCTTAATATTCTAACCAAAAAGTATTATTGGTCAAAAAGGGGAATAAAAGACGGAGTGTTGAGATGGCACCTAATTGGCTGCAGAGATCATTCTGATCCATACATCAGGTGAAAAGTCATGCATAAATGTCCATATCTTCTTTGACCTTCACATCTATGCCAAACTAACATCTCATTTCTTCCCTTCTCCTTACTTCCTTACTGCTTCAGCATCTACTCCATTCATTTAACCATTTGGAGATTTCAATTTACAGGAAGCAAATTCTGGAAATAATTGAGGGTGAGTTAGACATTATGTTCTGAATCATATTTTATACTACAGTCATGTTAGGAGAAGTACTACAACATGGAAAACTAGGAAGAAATTTTGGGGGTGAGTGGTTATTGTACACAAATACATACACACACAAATATGCGCACATAAATATTTTAAAAGGTTAGAGGAATAATTTGGCCCCTATTTTTGATATGTCCTTATTAAAACAGTTTTTTTTCCTACCTGAGCACATTCTGTGCTAAGATTAGAAATACTCTGAGTTGAGGAATATAAGTACATAGCTAAGTCAAAAAGATCTAGAAATAAAATACCAAATTTTCTAATTTTGTATGGAAAGCTGATGTACTTCAATTAATCCTCAACTTCACATTTATTTCCAATTATATGGAGATGAAAATACTGAATTAGATCATTGAAAAGTGATAAGGCAAAATTTACAAACAATTGCATGGTACCTTAAGCATATACCTTTACATAAATGCTATGAAAAGCTGAAAACAATGAATTATCCATAAAGAGTATTGGGTCTATACCTCCATTAAAAGTTATGTTTCCTTAAGCTTAAATATTCCCAAAGCAATTTCATTAATCTTTTATCTTTAGCAGGCACAATGTAAATTACTGATATGTTGAATATAAATAATTCATAAAATCAAATTTTAAAAATTACCTAAATTGTATTTTAAGTCACCTTTTTATTTTTTTTAAATTTAATGATCGTAAGTATAAAACTATCAATTATTTCTTCTCTATAATGAGTTATTATCTAGTTTAATGTATTTTTAAGGCTTAGTGACAGATGACTGCACTCTGGCCTCTTATACATCATACTTGCTCTCTTTTTCATTGTCACTCAAAAATAAAATAGGCAAGTATAAACTTTTAATAAGTGGATTATATAAAGTACATGAGTCATATTAGCATTTCACTTTTTTTTTAACTCTCTTTCACCTCTTCTTCATTTCAAGTTCTTAATAATCTTAAATCATAATTTGTGGATGAATTTGGTCATTGATCTCTCCTGTTAGTATTCTCTTAGCTATGTGGAAAGAAGCTTTCTGTGGTCCGGTTTATATGACAAATCCAAGCATGTTGATTACTCATGTTGCTTCCAGGTAATAAAATTGAAACAAATTTTTTTTTGTATCAACTTTGAATATTTTTCTTTATACATATTATATAAGAATAGTATCCACTTATTTACCCCTGTGAATACATATCAGATCAATGGTGCTATAGAGAATCAGGAGTAGACAATTACTAATGTGCTACACTATAAATTATAAATGATTATCTAAATGGAGAAAATTCAAACACCAAAAGAAACATTATTTTAACTCTACTGAGATTTGGTTGATTGCTTTCTATATAAAAAATAAGTTTCAGATACTCAGTATTAAATGGCATTTCAAGTAAAAAGAGAATTCTACATCATTCCTTACAGAAATCAATTAGTCTCAGATGGTAAATTGCCCCTATGTTCAATATCTAATATAAAAGCAAGCAAGCAAGCAAGCAAACAAACAAAATGAGTGTCTAGTGTGGGTCTTCATGATTCATGGGTGTCCATGTCGTCACATGGTGGAGAAGAGAAAGAAGCTCTGTGGGTCTTTTTAAGGGCTTAAATCCTGTTTGCTCTCATTGCCTAATTACTTCCAAAATGTGCTGACTCCTAGTATCCTTTCACCAGGGATTCGGTTTCAACCTGAGGATTTTAAGGGACACACACATGCACTCTATAGCAGAAAACATTATTAAAATAAGTATATTGTGTAATCAAATAATAGCAAGGGAGCTAGGCTCTTTTAAATACTCATTGTTATAAACTTGGGTAATTTCCTAATGTGATTTTGCTTCAGCTTCAGCTTTTGTAAAATAAAGGTGATAATCTGACCTGTCTCCCAGTAGTGTTTTGAAATGGAATTTGCTTAATGTATACAAAGCAATTAAGATAATATCTAGCACATAACAGGTCTGTGTGTCAGTTTGGTCCCAGAAGGAGGGTAATAGTTTTCACTGACATGTTCTAATATGATCTAATTGTGGTAAAGGATGCAGGTAGTCACAGTGAAAACATGGTGATGCCTTTTAAAGCCTAGACATGTTACGTATTCCATTGTTCAAAATCTGTCACTTGGCAAGCACAATTTCATCACCTGAGGGGATATATATCTCTCATGTCATTGTTGGGATTAGGAAGGGATATTATGGACATACCACCAAATATGCAGCATGTGGTGAAGCCATTGCTTGCAAGACCGGTTCTTTAGTGTTTGGTTATGGAGAAATGTGTCAGTCTGAGCAAAAATCGTATGACTTGCTCAAAGTCTACGTTTGGGAGATTTTCAAGGAAAGAAGCACAGAATCATCTGCGTATGAGGAAGTGAA